CAGATTATTCGAAATGTATGGCGCTAATACATCACATTTTTCAGATAATCTACGTCTTCTAATTACATTATCCAAATTACTTATAAGTAGTTAAATCAACAACACTAAATAAATGTTACAAGGATGTTAATGTAACTGTTGAGTCCTAAGTGAGACGAAGCTCTTGTCCATTATTAGTCACTATTCATCCTTAAAATATCAAGATGAATTTAACGCCTATATCTACGCAATCGCATATGAGCTTCTTATGTCAAAATATGGCCAAACTAACCAACAACGTGAAACAATAAGTCATCATATTGATTGTTAAGGGTAATCTCCTCTTCTTTAACAGCTCACATCTACCTAGAGATGAAAACACCAAATACAAAAAAGAAACGGGCATCAGTTTCTTGGCTGGTTTACTGTAATATTATTCATTTACTTTAATAGTACCTGCCTTTAGCAATGGGATGTATGAACCAGGATGTTTGCATTTCTCTGCTTCAATTCAGTTTTGAGGTAGCCTAATGGATAGATTGTTCAAAAGCCATCTAAGGGAACAAATAATATTCTTTTGATAACTTTTTCTTCAGATCCTACAGTTGTATATACATAATGAGTAACTTTGCGTCAACAATATTGATATTCCGCTTATCAGTTGAGGAAGTCAATTCAGAAAAGTCTTATGTGATGATTAATAGTAGAATCAATTGTTACTAGGATTCAATTCAAAATGATTGGCTAACTAAAAGATTATACGGCTGATGTAATACTATAAAGGGATAGTTTAATAAAACAGTGAGGTGTTTATGAGAGCTGAGTAAAATAAACAAAGAAGTATAATTTGAGCAATAATAGCTTGACGGAATATTGTTCATGTTAGGGAACAAAATCGGTTAAAAGAATTTTATAAAACTATGTCAAATTATGGGGATGAAGAGACATGAGCAGTATGAAATTGAAAAATTAAGTTTCATGGGGTAGGATACTAAACAAGATATGAATCCTTAGTTGGACCAACGTAGTTGTAATGGCAACATCTGCTTTTTTTTAAAACACATAACCCAAGTTATTTAATCCTGATTGCCACCACATATGCAATCTGAAGGGTTCAGAGCCAACTGCCTTTTGGAAAGTTGATGAGAACCTGGTACAGACTAGAAAACGACTAATTCGTTCTAACTAAGCATGGTAATATGGAGCTGTTAATACTCTTTACAACACCTTTGCTTTATTATGCTACGAGGTGTTCGCGAGCACGAAAAGCTCAGTACCTAGAGCAGTGGTCGACATAAATGGCTCCATAGGAGCAGTCGAAATGATAAACACAACAGGTCAATCTAGGCAATTCATCTCTGTCTTGGTGTTACTATCAGGAGTGTGAAAAATGTAATTAATAATTTATCAGAATTCAAAATTCTCTGAATTAATCTATGCAGTTTGCGAATTAATATCTCGTTAAGCACGTCACCTATAGATTTTACCTGAATGTATAGGAGTTTCTTGCTGGCCGTTGGAATATCCTTTCTTATCATCTTTTCAATCATATGTTTCTTGATGATTTTATTGGGATTACCACTTGCTCAAAGTCATTAGTTCCTGCTTAATTGTATCTTCAAAATAAACAATCTTCATTCTGTAACTTAGAGTTCTTATCAAATTTTGTTTATACTGGAGGGTGAAGAAGCTGAGAAAATGTGTGCATTGCCCCATCCATGTAATTTTCTGAAAAAAAAAACTCCTTTTCATCGACCAATCTATTCGTTCTGATAAAAAAAAACACATCAAGAATAGCTATTTCACCTTCTGACTTTTGCTCACATGTAAACTTCATCGCTGGGTGTACTGCCACTGCTAGTATCCAACCTGTAAGCTTAATGTGGCACTGTAAATTAAAAATATTACAATAAATGAAGAGAATAATTGAAGTTATACTCAAAACTATACATTTCAAACATATACACTATCTGGGTGGAATAATGACCGATAGCTTTAGTTAGCCTACAAAAGTTTATATGGCAACATGCCAGATACCTGGAGTTGTGTTCTGCGTTGAAACTGCTGAGTATCTTTAAAGTTTCTATGTTGTTTTTTTTGCACAGGATGAACGTGTCATTCATTTATCAATAGTAAGGTGAAAACCATACAATCTGAACATATAACTGTAGAATATGAAGAAAACGTTATTGAAGAGAGAATATTTTTTTATTCATACAAATAACTTTTGAATTATGATGCAAGTTTTTAAGGACTAATAAAGGAGGTCTGTTGGCAAAAGAAATCAATTTACAGTTTACAATAATTTGTGTAGGTTAACCATACCATCTAACTGTCGTAATCTGGATGTATACATTAGGTTCTACGCCATGAATAGCTAGTTCATCATCATCAATATCAACATAGGACCAGGCATTACTGCGTAACGGTCCGAGTTGCCACACATCATATCACCACATCAAGTAAAAAGGTAGTGAGGTGAAGAATGAAGATAAGTGAATGCAGTCAAAAGAAATATAAAGTACGAGAAGAAAGGAAAGAGGAGTGACAAAATAGTGAGATTCGGTATAGCGTTGTTAAGATGAGGATAATGTGTGTATACATCTGCGCCACTGACTTCGGTTCTCAGCCATATCACCTAGGGTCTCCAACCACTGGTTCCTCTTGTCCCGTGGACCCCAACCACCTAGTCTGCATCGTCCTACATGGCTGAAACCAACAGTCAGAGACTTCATACATTGATGCCATGTTTTAGTCTGGCCATCTCAGGCCTTTTTCCAGCCTGGACCTACTTCGGCTAACATTGTGTGACGAGGTAATCGGTGACTAGGCATAGCTGGTTAAAAAGTCAGCTCCAATGCATCACTGAAATAAAACTTTATCCAACTATGATATAAGATATCTTTTGATGGTGATTAGCTGAGAAATACAAGATGAATATTCTATCTTATCCAGAACTTTTCAACTGAAGTTAACTACATTCTAAACAAAGTGAGAATGAATTGTCACTGTCAACTACCACAATCAACTTCACTGAAATAATAACGAATTGTGATGTCTCTGTTATATTCAGTGAAATATAAGAAATTAAATTTCGTTAGATATTGTAATTTATTTGAAACATAAATGATACAAACTAACAGATCTTTAGAAATAAGCTGAAAATCACCAAATAAATGCATTGAAACATATTAGAAATATACAGTTTAAGGCAATTTTTTTATTTTCACCCTATGTTTATAATAGTTTACAATAGTTCTTTGCTATTACTACTTATTGACATACTTGTCATTCTCCGTTGTTTTGTTGAATCGGATTGTTTGGCCTCTATTGGCATATGAGCTCCTATGCGAATGCCTTGATATTGCCTGAATGTTTATTATTTATTATTATTATTAGTCCCTTGGGTTCCTAGTGGAACATAGGGTTTCAGTAGCACGACTCCATTTCATCCTGTTCTCTGAGATCTTTTGAACCTGGTTCCACGACAGCCCACAAGCTCTCATTTCCTCCTCGCACGATCTCCTCCATGTCACCCTTGGACGTCCAACTCGTCGCTTCCCATGGGGATTCCACTCGAGCAACTGGCCTGACGCGTGATGTCCTCAGTCGGCCTTCTCAGTGCATGCCCAATCCATCTCCACCTCCTCCTGCATATTTGTTGCACGATAGGTTCTTGGTTGGTTCGTTCCCAGAGTTCCTTGTTGCTTATTCTTCCTGGCCATCTGATCTTCAGTAACGAGCGTAAGCAGTTGTTGATGAATGTCTGTAGTTTATCGGAAATGCCTTTCGTGACGCGCCAAGTCTCTGAACCATACAGGAGCACTGACTTGACGTTGGTGTTGAATATCCGTATCTTGCTCCGCATGCAGAGTGCAGAAGATCTCCACATTGGTTTCAGGCTAATGAACGCCTGTCTTGCTTTTCCGATTCTGACTTTGACGTCTTCGTCCGTCCCGCCTGTAGTTGAAACAGTGCTTCCTAGATAAGTGAAGGAGGTTACTTCCTTTAAGTTTCTCCCGTTGATGGTGATTGGAGTTTGTTTTTGTTGTTGGTGGTGGTGGTGGTGCGGTATCTTCATCACCTCTGTCTTCTCTATATTCACTTGAAGTCCCGTCTTCGCTGCCTCTTCTATCAACTTGTTAGTTTTTGCCTGCAGATCTTCAAGTTTATGTGACATTAGGCACAAGTCATCGTTGGCGAAATCCAAGTCTTCTAGGTTCTTTTCCGCCGTCCAGCGTATCCCCATCTTCTCGCTCCCCACTGTTTGCTGCATGATCCAGTCGACCACAATCAGGAATATCATGGGGGATAGTAGGCAACCTTGTTTCACTCCTGTCTCCACCTCACTTCAAAATCATCACTGAGCTTCCCATTGTGAATTACTTGGCATGTGGCATCTTCATATAGTTGTTGAATGAGGCGGATAAAGGTTTGAGGTACTCCGTAGTATTGAAGCAGTTTCCAAATTACTTCTCGGTCGACTCTGTCAAAGGCCTTCTCAAAGTCGATGAAGTTGAGGTAGAGAGCTGATTGCCATTCTATGCTCTGTTCTATGATGATGCGAAGCGTTGCAATTTGGTCTGCATATGATTTGTACTTCCTGTGCCTGAATGTTAATTATGTAGATTTGCTTGGTTGTGGCTAGCAGAAGAATCCAGGACGTGTGTTTAGTCTTATTTGGGACTCACTGGTCAGCTCGATGTACCTGGACCCCAATGAGTGATGTTTTTCCCATTGAGACTCGAATCTCGTACCCATCGGTTCAATCGCCAAGGCGTTATCCACTATACCACAGAGGAACGATAGCCACTTCTTGTACAACGGGTGTTTGGAGCGTTTGAAGCGATGGGTACGAGGTTCAAGTCTCAATGGGAAAAACATCACTCATTGGGGTCCAGGTACATCCAGCTGACCAGTGAGTCCCAAGTAAGACGAAACACACGTCCTGGATTCTTCTGCTAGCCACAACCAACCAAAGTCCTTTGTTATACTGCATAAATTTTTCCTTCATTTTATAGGTGTTTATATTCATAATATTGTTATACACAGAACTATTATCAAATCGAAGTGATACACTGAAATATCATGGTAATTCATTGAAACAAAATCATCATTATCAAATAAGCAGATAATTAAGAAGGTGGTTATATCTTAGAAGTTGAGTTTCATAGTTAACAGCCAACTGCTCCGTTACGCATTCTATTAATTTCTAACCAGCACCTTCTTAATTGAGAAGCACTATTAACTCTCTATACAAAAATTGTAATTATAGGTGAAGCACAGTCTTCAAGTTGTATGTGCAAACTATTAAAGTGCAATATAATTTCTTTACATATATATTTTATGATTAATGCTGCATTTATCTTTTAAATAACTAAATGTAATGAACACTTTTTTTCACTTGTAATGCCTTCGAATCCTCTTTCTGTCAGTTTAGTGACAATTTTGTTATACAACAAGCCTGACATGTTGAATAATAAACCGGATTTTTTAATTTATTTCTAACTTTAACTAGTTGTGATAAAGAAAGTTTTAATTATGATAATTTAGTTGGTTGTGGCTAGGGGAGGAATAAAGGACGCGCGTTTCATCTTATTTTGGACTCGTCAGCTACATGTACTTGCACCCCAATGAGTGATATTTTTTCCCACTGAGACTCTGAGCTCGTACCCATTGCTTCAAACTCCGAAGGCACGATAGCCACCTCTTGTACAACAGGTATTGGTCATTACTATTTGTTGACATATTTGTTATTCTTGGAATTGAACAAATAGTAATAACTTACTTCGTTATACAAGAAGTGGCTATCGTTCCTCTGTGGTATAGTGGATAACGCCTTGGCGATTGAACCGATGGGTACGAGATTCGAGTCTCAATGGGAAAAACATCACTCATTGGGGTCCAGGTACATCGAGCTGACCAGTGAGTTCCAAATAAGACTAAACACACGTCCTGGATTCTTCTGCTAGCCACAACCAAGCAAATCCACACTATTAACATTCAGGCAATATCAAGGCATTCGCATAGGAGACCAAATGCCAATAGAGATCGAATAATTTGATCTAGTATGACAACGGAGAATAACAAGTATAGTTCATAAGAAGCCTAAAAATGGACTAGACCATCAGAAGTAAAGCAGTTAACGAACAGTAGAAGTGTACACTTTATACATGTGTCATGAAACAGTAACAGAATATAAGTTGACAAGTCTCCAAGAACATCATTTTAGTCAGTTAATATCAATATGAGACTTAGTATTACTGCTTGGCGTCCGAAGTTGCCATATTTCATATTAAGATCTATGGTATCAAGAAAAAAAACTACAAAGAAGTAAATAAATGTAATTAAAAGTCATAAGATAAATGGAAGAGCAGTTAAGAGTAAGTAATGAAATCTCATTTGATAATCAGTTTTAATCGTGAAAGCTCCACCATATCATTTAGGAAATCAACCGCAAGAACTACGATCAAGCACTTCATTTGACAAAGTAGTCACCCTCTTCGCCTTCGTCTACATCAACATCAGCTGGCTATTAAACGTCACCAGAGTTTGTCCCTCAGATGGACAACAATGCACAGGAATCCAATTTTGAAAGTGTAAAGGTCTTGGACAGAGAAAATATAAAGAATACCAGTGGATTCCTAGAAGCTTGGTATTCAAGTCATTCAGCAGCCAATAGGTGAACAGATTTAGAACGAAGTTACCAGCAAATAAGAAAAATGATAAACAACTACAAGATGGGACATCAAGCAGGAAAACGGCCAAAAGGAAGATATATTCAGTCACAGATGCAATAATTAAACGAAACCACCAGTCCAACACTACTTCATCAGGGCTAGTTGTTGAACCAATCATCAAGAAATCCTGATAGCTCACTGCATATTGAAGTTAGGGCTGAGGGTTTCGTCTAGAAACACAGTGAAAGCTTCTGACTGACTAACAAAATCAACGTAGAACCTAGCACACACACACACACACATACACACACACGCTTCCCAGTAGTATGCAAGAAACAGGTGGATAGAAAAAGTGGTAACAAAGTAGACAAAGATGTGTGAGAGAATAAACAAGCTGAAAATAAAGGTTGGTGAGAATAGTCAGGCTGTAGAATACGTCAAAGAGTGAATACATCTGCTCTATTGTGACCGATTTTCAGCCATGTCACCAACGGTCGTCAACCACTGATTCATTAGTCTCACGGACCCCAACCAGGCAATCTACATCTCACACCATCCGACTCAGACTAATAGTAAGATACTTCATCGACTAGTGCCGCTTCATGTCTTTCACTTTTAACGGACATATCTCACAGCCATATAACACAACAAAACTGACTGCAGTGCAATATAGTCATCCTTCAGTCGGTAGGTAGTCGAATATCTCGCAGGCACTTCGTGATTCAACCACCCAACTTGGAAAACGCAACACCATCAAGATCCTGCACTTCAGCTACAGGTATTCTTCACCTTTCCAGGATTTATTTGTGCCACTGATTCACTCCACCTAATCTTCAATCACTGAAGTCGGTTATCAAACGCACTTCAATCATAAAGTCTATATTTCCCTCAGAAGGACAGTGCGAAAATTCGTGGGTTGATATACCGTAGCTGTCAGCGTCAGTGTCTTCAACACCTGGGTACTCTAGGCGTGCTAAACAGCTTTATGTAAAAAGATGAATATCTGTAAAGTCAAATGAGGAAAAAGAGATCTGAATAAGAAATCTCAATGACAAGTCAATGATAAGTCATGAATATTAATCCAATTTTTGTTGAGATGGATTTCGCATATCTTTAATAAAAATCGTGACCCGTGTGCTCCATCAAGTAGGAAATTAGGTGAAGGCCCATTGATGACACAAAGTGAGGATCGCGTTTTATAGCCAACGGATGGAAGTAGGAATTAGTGGGCCACTAAACTTGACGGTCTTGGGCCTGATCTCTTGATGGCTCGTGGGTGCGCACTACTAAGGAGTCACAGACTAGGACAGAATCTGGCTATCTGACTTGCATGGACCGGTATACTTTAAATTAGATGGTCACTGCAAGTGACTTACAAATCACGCGACCTATACATCACTGCTTTTATTTCTAGTGGGAACTTTTAGTATTCAGAAAAATTGTTTGAAACTCTTTCTAGTCTGATAAGGAAGACTGTAGGACCGGATATGACTGTTATGAAACAGCGTGACAGTAATTTATAGGAGAAAATCCCTAGTGAAACACATGTTTCGTCTTTCTCGCGACTCTTCAACAGAGGATGTACAAGCATCTCTATGAAAGCTAGTATCAACTTTGATACCACAAACTGGCACTCCTCAATTTAAATACCATATAGTTGTTCATTAGATAATAGAGCTATGAGAGAAACATGATGAAATGTGCATTCTGGATTCCGATGCTACTCATTACATAAAATATAATTACAAATTAATCACACAGAGTACTGAGGCACATTTTGAATCAAAAATTGAAATCCACTCAACAACCTTGTACACATTTATGCCGTACACAAAGTCACACCCACTATGTAAGGGCCAATAATACTACTTTACTGCTTATAACCTCGATAGGTGGGGCGGTATTCGAACTCATGAACCACTGGTTGAAAGTCTACTCCCTAAACCTATGAGCCATAACTTCACTGAATAGAATGTTCGTGACACTCATCAGCAAAACACTGATCAATTCAGTTTTATGAACCAACAACTGGTAAAATCAAAATCGCCAATTCAACAATAAAACTACTTCCTTCTATAAAGGAATTTAGCACTTTCTTGCTCAATATAAAAATTCATAGCTGCACAAATGTGCAACACTGAAAAAGCAATGCACAAGAACTTTCGAATTCAGTTTAACAAAAGTGTTCTTCTAGTAAGTAATCGACTAAATTGGCTAGGCGTCTCATTTACTATATAACCGGCTCTTACAAGCAGTGGCATCTTCTGTTTCCTCAGTGTGTGTCAGTATTTCATAATGTCCTTCCTTATCCAAGGCTAACAAGATATTTGTATGCCTAGTCGGTGGTTTGATCTTTGATCACAACAATTTATAAGAATCACGTCTACCGCTAACACTTGAGACCCTATAAGCCATAAAAAGACTATCCCATCATGTCATTACAACATTCAGAACCAGTTTGTTGTTATTGTAATGTGAAACTGAAAGATAAACAGAATTAAAGATCCTACTTTTCAAGAATATCACATGATCAACCAAATTACAGAACTAAATGACTGGGATAATGCAGAGCCATACACAACAAAGAGTAGACGAATCGACTGCCTACGAGTAACTGTTATAGTTATCAAGTCTTAAGTGCTCAGCATTGATCGACGTCTATCCATCAAGTTTACAAAGTAACCACTGATCTACATGATGCGACACTGTGGTGCACTATATTCTGGTTTTAGACGTCAAAAGCTGATAAGTGGAATCCCTATGGGCAATGATGGGGAAATTGGCAATCCCTTGGCGATTTGAACTTGCATCACTCAGTGTTGAAGTTAGAGACTTAACCACTACACTGAATGACTATCAGTCAATCTAGACAAGCCGATTTACAGCACACTGTAATAAACAGTAAATAGTGAAATAAATGCGAGAAACTTAAGAAGATTCAAAAATCAACATTCGTGTGATGCTGAACATATTAACCAGGAAAGCAGAGAAACTTTAAATGTTGAAGCATTAAAGTAATAAGTTTCCTGTTTTACATTTATTGCTGATTAAACCACCTCCATTACTACATCTTTAGTAAATCTCCATTATAGTCCGGCAAATTTTCGTTCCCAAATGTTGTACACATGTTTTGAAGACACTGTAAGGGTATAGAAAAAGTCGCTATGGTTTTAAATGATGGAATCCTGTCACATGCCTAACAACCTCCAGTCCTGTACTTGACGCAGACCTACAGTGACCTGAATACCTTAGTAGATAGGTCTCTGAATTAAAAGAGAGAGAGAGAAAGAGAGGCGTTTTATCCCATTACCAACGTCAGGTAGATTTATAAGTATGAACAATTCAGAATTCTGCAGAACAAATTACCATAATATTGGACTTATCATTTCAAGACAATGAACGTCAGAAAGCATTATCGCTGAATGATTCCTAGGTTGCTGCTAACCTAAACCAGTAAATTCTCCCTACCTCAGATTACACTTCCATCACTAATGTTTCTGCGTTACAAGCGATAAAACACAAACCTACGATATAACACATATTACGAATGAATAGAGGCAATAATAGGCAACATAAGGACGAAACAGATGTAATTCATTTCAACTAAATGCAAATGAAGTGCATATATTATATGAAAGAAAGCATCACCGTAAATTCCCCCGCCCAACCTACAACTTCAGATTATGACGCGAAGTATTACTTCTGAAATCAAAAACATGCGTCCCTACACTAAGCATTACTGTTATCAAGCATACATCATACGCAGATGCCAATCACAAACCCATTTAGTGGAATTGTCAGTATTCGCTCATAGTTGAGTGGCGAAAATTACTCAGAAAAAGTCCCCGATATCTTGGGACGTAGTATTCGTTTAACACTATCAACCTGTAAAATTCACCATAATGGAGAACTTGAATGTCCATCTATGAGCCAAGTAGCAAAATTAAACTTATGAATCCCTAACAAACTTACTACTAAATGCTGTGATATATATGTCACATCTCGACCACCTTCAGTAGGCTGTATTCGTACATTGAAGATTAGCATTACTAGTAAGCCAAAACGTGACTCATTTAAGTACGCGCACCTAAAAATTACACTGAATGCTGCCACTCTTTATTCGACTTCCTTAGTACAAGGAAATCAACACAACGAAAACAGCAACCAGAAACCAAACTAATATGAAATTCAAATAAATTGGTATGAACGTCAAAATGAAAACCCCAAAGTTTACATGAATGAAAACTCTTGATAACAGAAATGATCAGGTGGAATAAAGACCAACATGAATAGGATGGGAGCATAAAATCACATCATGATCTTCTTTCAGTGAGTTCTGAACTCTCATAACAATCGACCTCACCTTTGAGAAATTTCTTCTCAATTCCAGTAATTTACATCATTCACCTAACGAAAGAATTCGATGCATACCTTGGCAGTCACAAAGTGAGCGAAACAGATCGATGCAAGGTTACGAAAAAATTCGAATTATTCGACGAAATTGCAAACCAGCGATGACTGACGAAACTGAGTATTAGGCATGCTGAGTTATCATTCACTAGCACTAGCCACCGTGAAATCAAAGATGTAAGGCAGAAAACACATAAAAACGTAAAGATAAGTTTGTCAGCTACAGCAATTGAGTGAGAAGTCAAGGCAACATGTGGATATACACACCTCCCATCATTTGCACAAATACAGTCAAGTGCATCAGCTCAAGTTGTCTCACTTCACAGCATTATAAAAGGATCAAACAGGCAAAAAAGGGATACACTTCCCAGTCATTATTCTAGGAGTAATTGCAGTAGACCAGTGCTGGGGCATCATCTTACATTTAACAGGTGGGAAACGTATGCCAAACAAAGTCAGATTTCTGTTCAACACGTTCAGAAGACCCTGAAATTTATCAGCGTCTTCACCTAGAAGAACAAAATCGTCTGTATATTCCAAGTCATCCAAACATAAGCAGACGAAGGTTGACCACAAACACTAAATCAGTAAACATGCTTCAAAAGAATTTCTCTGAAGAACCTAGTATGTCGCAAGTTCCTTTTGGATTCTAACCAGCATAAAGTTAACAACTTACCTAATGATGAGGGTTAGAAGACAAGTTCACGCCACTGGTAGTACAGGTTCTGGAAGTTGTAAGGCGTTTCTCTCAAGTAACCGGCATTCCATGAGGGTGCTGCATTGCTGTATCGCAAGAGGTTGGGGAGGATCGACACGATACCCATCACTTACGTAAAATACCGGGTCCCGGCAGTACAAATCCACTAACTAATACTCACTTAACACTCACAAAATGGAAGCTGAATGTATCTTTAATTACCGAATTTATGCTCCACCTAAAACTCCCAAACCTGGGCTATCACTTCGTCCTATTTTCGGCATGGCTGATTCCCTCCATCAATCTGTTGCCAGGCGGTTAGCTGAACTTCTAGAACCATTGAGGGAAAGTGCAAATATCCACTCCCCTCATACACTTGGATCTGTTGATTGTACTAATGGTCTCAATGCTACCGGTAAGACCCTGCTTTCCTCGGAAAAACGAAATGCACCCAGCCACTTTGTGCACATTCATGCGGTAGGAAATGAGTCACACCTATCATGCAAGGACTAAAAATACTACCTGGTTGCCCAAATCTGGATAGGGGAGTGATGTTCTTTGAATGTTTGCTCTCTAATTACAAATGTCCCACTTAATGAAACAGTATGCTTCTTGGGCCAATATACTGACTCATTCGATGTAAGTGTCAAGACATCTTACTTGAAGGAACTTAAGGTGAGATGTAGGCTAAATATCCAACCCACCTTAAACAATGGAATCTATCAACATACAGACGGTGTTTCAATGGGGTCCCTACTCGATTCATTGTTAGACTGAGTTCTCAGCAAGCCTTGAAAATATTTGTCATGGGCAAACTATTGGGAACTACAGTTCTACAAAAGATATACATGCGGTACATTTATCACCTGTAACACAACTTGCAAAGAGTATTGAGGACATCTTAATGATTGAAATCCATCCATTAAATTCACTGTCGACAAAGAAAGGAACTCTAAACTCCCATTTCTTGATGTGCCAATAACAAGGAGGCCTGGTCGACCTCCGAATAGATCAACCTACAGAAATTCTCCGCAGAGTGAGCAACTAAAAAAATATCAGCTTTGTTCCTACAGAAAAAAAATATTCTGCTTATCTCCTCTCATCACTTGTCCGAAAGACAGCGTGGAGAACGAGCTAAAACAATTCTGAAGAGCTTCAAGCAGAGCACGTAACTACCACGTATTATGGAGTGTAACAGTATGTAAGTCGAGAACATTTTAATATAACGGCCGTGCCAAGGTTGAAGTTATGTGTTGATTTAGAATCTAGGTAGTATTGCAGAAGAAATTCTTGAGAATCGACTGACAACGGACACCAAACAGAATTTTATGCCACCTCCTTTCGAGTAACCTAGTTCCGTCATCACCCGGTCTAACTTAATGCTGACTTTCGTCGAGATACATTATCCATCGCTTTCGAGTGCACCACACAGCGTGACCTAGCAAACGTAGTAGGAGCATACATTCACCAATCTCGCAAAATACACTCGACAGCAATTATACAGCCTCAGAACAGTCATTTAACATTACTTGCTAGGTCAAATCAAAGTTGTCGAAACGTGAACATACAACACTTGTATGTGGTTGCCCCGGCGATGCACAATCTCAAACCAAATTACGTATGCAATTATTATTTGTGCAGTCCCTCTCACTATACGAGACCTATCTTACCATCTTGATTACATGCTTCGTGCAACTAGTTCTTCCTTTTAGTCCATTTTGTTTCGCCACATTATTAGCGATCTTGGTCTCTATCATATCACACTTTATCAGACTGATATTCACATTTTTGCTTCAACAAAACGAATTTGTTGTCTCACTCAACCTTTTTACAGCTATTTGAAATGTAATCGTCGCAAAGAGGAATTTTCTTCGTTGATATCTACATCACACTATGCCACTTGTGATTGACCCAAAGCAGATGTCCGTAGATTACGTCAGTCATGCTGGACTGACCCACTTCCTCTTAGTAAAGATGTCAACTTCCACGCTGTTGGTAGCTAAGACACACCAAACGGCATCACGTTTCCGTTGTAACACAAAGTCTGCTTGACTTCTGAGACCTTTCCTTTCACCTGTATTCAATATCGTCCTCACTATAGTTACCTCAACTTCTTACCCTTAGACCACTGTTAGTTATCCAAGTCACCAAAATACTTTAGTTTCTCAAAACTACTTCTAAGCACTCCGAGCTTGCAGGCCAAGGATAAATGCTGTTTGCTTAACACACCTAAACATGTCTCCATGCACCTAAATTCACATAATCCAAGGAAGCAATTTAAGAAATTCACAATACAAAATTACACAGCTAGTTCACGCAGACACCAAGGCGTGGATATCGCAGAGTGGGAAGGGCACTTTCTGAGTCGTGGACATAAGCAATTTCCAAAAAAGGAGAAACCTGAGTCGTGTGGTTGTTCACTTCACCTGATCAAACTTCACGACTGGGAACCCATCGATAACCTAATAAACCTGTAAGAACTGGAAGGTAACGTAGAGCTCGTCAATGCCTCCTTGTGCCTATTGCCTAGCTCTCACCCACTTGTTTGCATGATGCAAAAGACGAGTTTTAGCAGGATCTGTCAATGTCGCTAGACGAGCCATAAAGTCCAGATACCATACTAGCGGGTGACTTCAACACACCAGCAGAGATATAGCCAACCAGGAGGACCTATAAAAAATCCGTGGGATATGAAGAAAGGTAAAAGGGGCCGGATGAGGTAATTCTCGCGTCTCGTCGTCCAGACAAGTGAGTAACGTATAAGTCAGGCGTAAAGTTCAAGCAGAAGGTAGTCGATACGGCTGTGAACATCCACCAACTAAGATGGATAGCCTGTTACGTATGCCTAACCATAATCTGCCTCGTCGCATATTGGCTGAAATAAATGCAGACTGGAATAAGGCTCACAGCGGCCACGATAGAACATGGCATCAATGGATGGAATGCTCAACTGAGTAAGGTCCACGCGACAAGAGTAACAAGTGGTAGTAGACCACAGGTGACAAAGCTCAGAACCGATGTCAGTGGTGCAGATGAGTGCACACATCATCCTAATCTTGACCGCTACACTTAATAACACTTCACCACTTCCCCATTCTCTTTTACTACTTCTTAGTCCTAACGACAGACTTTTTTAGTTAACCTTCTTTTCTATTGCCTTGGTACTTGATGTGTTCATGAAGTGACATTCAAACGTTACGCAGCAATACCTGTCCCCTAGTTGATATCGACGAGCATTAAATCACGCTAGTTACTGAGTGTAGCAAATCAACAACGAATTCTAAAATGTAACACGTTAATAAACCAGACAACGAAAAAACCACCAAGGATTAAGAAAACACACTTTCTGAGGGCAGCAGACGAGAAATAATTTATAAACACCGAGTATTCCTAACCGAGTAAACAAACCCTGTCTGCCTCAGCTTGTGCAAAGCAGTGACTATTACACACACTATTCCGTTGTGCTTACATTTAGATTTAGAAACTGTGTAGGTATCTGACACTACATACACCATCAAACCGAGAACAACAATAAAGGAAACGGTGGTATGAACCCATGGAAGTTCACGTTCCAAGAACTCGCAAAAACCGGTTTCGTGAGACTAATATATTACCAAATATCTTAATCAAACAGTCCGAAGCCCATGTCCTCTTCTGACTCCGACTCTTCTTTTACTTCCTCCTTCGCAGGTTTACTGTCTACTTTTGGTGCCTCAGCTTTACCTGGAGCAGCTGCAGCAGCTTGGGTTGGAGCGGCAACTCCAGCACCGGCTAGCGGGACAGATGACAACTTTGTAGATCCTTCTACAATCAACTTTTGTACGTCTTTGCCGGATATGGAAGTCATAAGCTACAAAGTGAACGGTTAAAAACGAAACTTACTGCTCCAAGTCTTCCAGAATCATGTTCAATCCCAACGGAGTTTAACACAGTTTTTATGTCATTTTCAGTGGGATTTTCCTTACCACCCAACTGACATAGTAAGTATGCAGCCAGATAACGCATCACGCCTGGACTTTTAAAACTGTACTAGGACGAACCACTGAAACACACTAAAACAAACCGCGCAACAACACTCATTTGCTAAATACTTTCCATATTCAATATTCACCCGGCAGCAAGGTGAAGTTTACATAGGTTCTACCTGAATGCAACAACGATATGATGCCATCTTTCGGAAATTGGTAATGGCTCAGTCTATCTCCGTCCTAATTATACTATATGACTTGCTGAAAACTCTCTTGAGCATTCCCGAAATATCTTTCAGAACAAAGCCAGCATTGTTATTGTGATTATTATTCAGTGACAAGGGTAAAACTGACAATTCAAAACTGCATAGTTACCAATTATTTCAAGTCAGTTTGACATGTGTTAATCCATGAAAAGATACTACTCCTGCTATGCATTCACTGAAGAAGCTGAAACCGCTTCCACGTTTGACAAGTTCCAGTCGTCAGTCACTGTGTCAACAAGACACAAGTCCACACCAAGGTGATTCGGCTGTAGATCATATACTTTCTCCTCATATGACAGGTTGAATAGACTAACCACCAACTTTAAGCCAACTTTCCGAACACGCTGCCGTGACTTGGGACTGTTTTTGAAGCAGGAGCTGAAGTCCCAAGTGTGTTATTAAGATTCAGTCACATTTATAATGGGTGCAATAACATGTTGGGCTACAGCTTTTTGGTCTACGCAACCTCCTCTATCAACTCGGGATTTCTGCTACATTCGTTTTCTTTTTTCACACAGTTTTCATCATGATTTGTCTGCTTTTTATCCCTCTGGCGTTTACTCCTCCAGGTGCACCTATGTTTTGGTCGTGTTTTTAGATGGCTGTCGAGATTCAGCTCCTCATTCGCTGGCACTTCCGCCTACTTGACAATCTGCGTTTACTGTGTGAAGACCGATGGTTCTACTTTCAAGAACCTCTGGGACTGAGCCACGCTCGGACCCAATATGTAACGGGTCGTACGAGGACTCAAGGGTGAGGTTGGAGGTGGGTTTATCCACAGCATTCATCTGGGCATTTGACACGCAGACGGTATCAACCAAGCGCTTAAACTTTATTCGCGTAAATAACTTTTGAAAGCAATTCCCTACAAAGCGAAGGGAGGTGAAGAGATTACGACCACTATATTAGTTTTATAAGGCCTCTTTCCACTCTGTGTGACTGACAAGTTGCACTGTTATCCTAGTGCACGCAGACGGCGTTTTATTGACTGCCGTGAAGATAACCCAACTTGTAATAAACCCACACAAAGTAGAGCAGCTTACCCTGGTTCAGTTCGGTAGCGGTGGGATTTTTATCCCAGTTTATAGTTGCCTGCACTTCTGACATCCTTCTGACTTGCCTGAGTTCGTAGACCAGGGTAAAACACTATATCGACCACCTACTTAAAACATCTAAGATGGCCGTGGTTCGACCTATGCCCTTACTTCAGTCTGGTACATGAAGTAGGAGGAAAGAGAGGGCTGGTCTTCCCCCGATTTATACAAAACGTCAGACCATAAATTTTGGTTTCCCACGCGAACATAACATACGTGAACTGAAGTCTCATGATTCTTGTTCTGCTGATAGCTGTTTACCAGAGAAGTTTGCATGTGTCACTATCTTCGTATGCCTTTTTCCCTGAATTCTTCCTGGTCCTCCCATATCTTACTAGCTGGCAGAAGAATCTTCCACTTAAGTTTCTTTTTTCGAAAACCAACCGTATCTGGTTTAGCCTAGCCTAGCTCTTTTATTTAGTGTTATAGACTCCTGCATCTCCTCTATTGTCCTCCCTTATTCTAATAATAGTAATATATCTCAAAAAATGAATTATACGAACACACGCCACTCTTTCTAGTAATAGCTAAATCTTATTTCCTTCTTGGAGCTGCAAAAATTTAGAAAGAAACAAACCATAGTGCTATACAAAGCCTTCAGGAGTAAACAACCGATTAAATCTTGCTGGTCACAAATATTTGATAAAAGCGATATCGCTAGACAGCAGTAGTGAAAATTAATGAGGGTATAATCACTCGTCGTGAGAAGCATCCTGGCAATAGCCAGTCATGTAATCTATAAGGCTTCATTGCAAATCAAATGCTGAGAGCAACTGCGGCTGAAGATATGTCAATATTCAACAAATTTATGCTGTCTGCAGATAAGAAGTGAAACTGGAGTTAAATACTGCGGTGGACAGCTGGGGGAATTTGGGTCTGGTATTGCATGGTGTCATGCAGAATGTAGAAATTGTTCATGTCTATGAGGTAGTAAACAGAGTCATTTGAATAAATTTGGCCGGGAATACAACTCTATCCAGCTACTGTCGCCATGCTACGGTGAAGAATATGAGGCTTCACCACGAAACCATTCAATAAGACTTCAAGGTCGGTGCGTCATGTGCGGTCACTTTGGTTAGCTTCGTTTTCAGATGAGCGGTTGTGTGGAGCGGGAGAACTTACATGTTTGAGTTGTTGGAAAGAAACTATTCCATACTGCGTATATCTTTGAAGATTGTCAGTGGGGCTAGTGGTGTACCCCCGAACTTTCCAGTTAAAACTGTTGTGGACAGGCATATTGACTCACGCAAACATCTCAGGAATTACTTTACGAGATGGCCAGCATCCTCTTCACTCATGGCTTTCTACCTGTCGGTCGCCAGGTGACACCAGTAGTAGATAGATCAGACTCCGTGCACGACCCACTAAGTATAAAAACTCTGCCACACCATATTTACTTAGTATCCCATGAGACGAAGAGAGTACCAGAAACCAGCCGACCAGTCAATTTTTGTTTTCAAAGGCAAGCTGATTAATGATTACGCATCTTGCCGTTATTACGAGCCTGGCTGCTAGTGGGGCCATTTCCCAAGGTTACCTCTGCATTTTCAAGAAAGTTACAACAGGTGGCACGACGTTACACAAAGGGTCCACTTGATATTGAACGCTTGTGTGAAGCCTTGCAGCATGAAATTTGTTGAGCCTTGGCAACAGATTATAGATGGAGTGAACATTCTCGACAATATGTATTTTTCATACCACATAAATTGCACGAAGACAAGCCAGTTCACGGGTATGATCAATATGGCAATATGAGTTCATCGTTTTGATTACAAACACAATACTTGCTTGAGATTGGGATAGCTGGACTGTCCAACAGCTCATGGTTTCCTTCCATGCGTGCGAAACCGTAAAGCAGTGTCGTGGACTGGAGGCCTTAAAATGACTACCGAAGGCTCAATGTTAAATCGATCCCAGATAGTTACTCAATTCCCAGATACATGATGTGACTGAGCCTCTGAAAGACTCACTTTCAGTAAACTTGATTCGATAGTCCTATTATCAGACCGCAGTTCATCCTGATATTATCTCAAAAAGGGTAGCCATTACACCTTTTTGTCGCTTCGAGTTCCTGCGTGTGCATCCTTGGTCTACGTAACTCAGCGCGAAATTTCTAGCACCTCATCTACAACGTCTCGCGTGAACCAGAATTTGCTCATTCTTATCCGGACGATATTCCGGCGGCTACTGCAGACGAAGATGCTCACTGTAGCCACTTACAACAGGTCTTCATCAAGCTGTCTGAAACTTCAGTAACGGTCAATCTAGCGGGGTCTTAGATTGCGGTTCTTTCTCCGACGTTCCTCGGACACATTCGACGAAACTGGCATTCGCCTCTTACTTAAAAAGTTGCATGCACTTCAGGACTTTCCAGTCCCAGAGTCCCTCAAATCTCCTAGCAAATTTCTTGTCAGGTTACCATCGCCATTTTGCTCTTCAGTGTATACACACTTTAACTGAGCTGACAAACCTCCTCGAAGGTGAGTTCGAAAACTTCAACATGGCTCCGGAAGCTTTGCAGCCACCTCGAAAAATCAAAATTTGACTAACACGCCACCATATCAGCGTATCAGGAAGTCGAACTTCCCCTCAACATATCTGGTAGCGCGTCCAATTTGGCCACTGGGGCTGTACTACAGAAGCCCGCGGATGATACCTGGGCAGCCCCTGCTATCTTCCCAGGATACTGTCTGCATGTGAAATGTGGTACAGCACTTCCGGTTGCGAATTTTTTGCAATATATGCCCCAGAAAACCATTTGCTCCACTTTTCAGAAGACCGTGATTTCTTCATATTTGCCGGCTAAAAGCCTCCGACCTACGCGTTACACGCGACTACGGGTAATTATTCAGTAGGCATTCGCTGCGCTAATTATGTCACGTAGACAACATCTCACGGGTCACTCCAGGCATTTGTTGTATTTCTGAAGTGACCAACCCTTAGTAGATGCACTGTCTCGCGTTTGTGCCACCACTTTACATCAGACCATGGATTTAAAAATACAGCTGAACTTCAGGGTTAAGGTGAGGGGGTGGAAAATTTGTAACTATCAACCTCCTTGAAGTCACTTCTGAATGGTGACGGGGCAGTCCTGTGTGACGTATTCGCAGGGACCCGTAAACCCGTTCCCTTTGCTCTAAGTGAGCATGTTCTGATAATAATAAAACTTCACACAACAGGTTACATGAATACAAACCAGTTTACAGGTTCGATCATAAAAGCCTTTCACATTCTCTCGCATCCCCGTATACGTACTACTGACAACCTGACGCCCGCTAGGTTTGTGCGGTGCAGCATTAACCGTGATGTTTAAACACGGACGCGGTAATGTATTGAATTCCAACGCTCAAAGGTTGATCAACATGGCGTTACACCGCTTGGAACTTTCTTCAAACCACGGTCTGCCCACGTCAGTTGGGACATTACTGACACACTTTAACCATCTGAGGGTGGTTCCTACCCACTAAGATGTGTTGGTGGGTTCACCCTCTGACCGACAGTTAGTCGAGTGTCCGTCAAAAGAAGGGCTTCTCAGTTTTGACGCTTTTCTGCCGTAACAACCGACAAGAGGCAACAATCTGAACTCGTCACCTTCCAGAAGCTGTTCATTCTGTTTGGATACAAACGCATTCGCACCACTGCACATCGCCAAGCTTTTAACGGTTTAGTAGAACGCT